CTACTCGGGAGCCTGAGCCAGGAGAATGGCGTAAACCCGGGAGACGGAGCTTGCAGTGAGCTGAGATCCGGCCACTGCACTCCAGCCTGGGCAGCAGGCGAGACTCCGTCTCAAAAAAAAAAAAAAAAACTACAAGCAAAGAAAAACTTTTAGATTTAAAGCCTTGTGTACTGTAGTGCTATATATATATATATATTACAAGCAAAGAAAAACTTTGGAATTTAAAGCCTTGTGTACTGTAGTGCTATATATATATATATATTTTTTTTTTTTTTTTTGAGAAGGAGCCTCGCTCTTCCTATATTTTTGACGATGAAACCAGAAACTTTATATCTCACACACACACACACACACACACACACACACACACACACACACACACACAAACAAACCCTCTTTGGCATTTTCTAAATATCCCTGTGAATAAAACACCTGCCAAGACGTGGTAGGATTTAAGTGATTTGGGACAGGTGTTTTATTCACGTCTGCAATCCCAGCACTTTGGGAGACCCAGGTTGGAGGATTGCTTGAGCCCAGGAGTTAAGAGACCAGCCTGGGCAGACCCCTGTCTCTTAAAAAATAAAAAAAGTGATAGAGGATAAACGTAGAATTGCCATAGGTCATAATTTCTTTAATACAAAGCTGCTACGTTGGTGTCGTTTTAGGTCTGACAAACTTCCTCCCCCTGTGTGGTTGTTTCCTGATATAACCCACGTGTTCCTCATCTCACAGCTGCTGACCCCTATAAAACCTAATGACCAAGACCACAGTCATGTAAATAAATTCCCCCCTTCATTTTTTTCCCTAGCCAATCGACAATCACGTGAAGAAAGACAGGAATAAACCCATGGCCATTAAAAAAAGGCACAGTCCCACAGGCCCTCTCTCCCTCTCTCTCTCCAGTAACCTACTCACAGTTTGAGCACCATACCGTCTCTGGACTTTCTGTGGGTCATTATTCAGCACCCCTAACTTCTCTGGAATCTAGAATAAACTTTTTTCTTTCCTCAATTTTGGTTTCACTTTCTCATTGTGTCTCACTTGACACACCTGAACTTAACATCCTCCACCAGCTCTCCTAGAGAGTGGCTATCTTGGGCCGGACATGTTGGCTCAGGCCTGTAATCCCAGCGATGAGCAGATCACCTGAGGTCAGGAGTGGCCAGCATGGTGAAACCCCGTCTCTACAAAAAATATAAAGATTAGCTGGGCATGGTGGGACATGCCTGTAATCCCAGCTGCTCGGGAGGCTGAATCACTTGAACCCAGGAGGCGGAGGTTGCAGTGAGCTGAGATAGTGCCACTGCACTCCAGCCTGGATGACAGAGTGAGACTCTGTCTTAAAAAATATATATAAAAATAAATTTTAAAAGTGTGGCTATATTGGCTTTTGGCCTTTCTCAAGAGAGAAACCTCAAGACTAAATTGGAAAATAAACATTAATACTAAAAAATGTTTAGTATTTTTTATACTTTTTATGATATTTTTTATGATCCAGCAATTCCACTTCTGGGTGTATTAATCAAAAAGTTGAAAGCAGGTATTGGAAGAGATATTTGTACACCCATGTTCATGGCAGCTTTATTCACAATATCGAAAAGGTGAAAGCAAATCAAAACGTGGTCTAGCCATACAGTAGAATATTATCCATCCTTAAAAACGGAAATTGAGATGTGCTACAACATGAACCTTGAACATCTTATGCTAAATGAAATAAACTAGTCATAAAAAGTCAAATACTGTGACTTCACTTTTATGAGGTAACTACAGTAGTGGGATTAACACAGACACATGTTGGAACAACTAAGTTCCTCTTCGAAGACTCAACTTTCTGGTCATAAATTGTAAAAGTTGTACATCAAACCTACCCACCTTCTTCTGTTCTGTTTACACAAACCGTGCATTTACCCTATTTGGAAAAGTTTAAGTCTTAGCCAATTGGGATCAGCTTAGATTGTGCAGTCCAACCCCAGCCAATCGGGGAAGGACACAGAAACAGAAACTGCGTTAGATTAAAAACTCCTTCCCAATCTGAGTATACTTAATGCCAGCAAAGTGGACACTTAACATGGTTAAAATGTAAACTTTATGTAATATACTTTACCACAATTTTTAAAAAGTGAATAGAGGATTATTAGTTTTATTTAATGAAGCCTCCAAAAATCAGAGATCTGGGGCAAAAGAAATTCAAAACCAGTTTGGCTAGCAGTGCATTTTATACAGCCCCTGCTAAATAAAATACCCACTGATAAGTGTTTGGAATTTTATTGCTAACATTAGATTTATACATTAGAAACGTGTGTTTAAAACAGACATTCTCAACAACAGATTTTTAAAGGATCAGATTTTAAAATAAGTATTAAATTAGATGCAGCACCAAGAAATATATTGGTTTAAAAAATTGCTCAGTGCCAGGTGCGGTGGCTCATGCCTGTAATCCCAGCACTTTGGGAGGCGGGGGTGGGGGTGGGGGGCGTGGATCACCTGAGGTCAGGAGTTCAAGACCAGCCTGGCCAACATGGCAAAACCCCATCTCTACTAAAAATACAAAAATTAGCCGGGCATGGCAGCACGTGCCTGTAATCCCAGCTACGCAGGAGAATCGCTTGAATCCGGGAGGCACAGGTTGCAGTGAGCCGAGATCTCTCCACTGCACTCCAGCCTGGACAACAAGGGCAAAAACTCCACTGAGGGAGACACGGAGGGAAAGGAAAAAGAGCTCAGCTGCTGTTTCAGAGAATTAAACAATGAGTTAAAAACCTAACACTAAACAGCATTTTTAAATGTCCTCATCCCGTCACTCCACAGATTCCAAGCACCAAGGAGCCACTGGACTCAAAGCATCAGCTGCCACAGCCAATCAGAAACCAAAATGGCCAGTTACTAGGCAGACACTAGTGGGTAGGCCAGAGAGACCTGTAGACAGATCTCACTGTGCACCAATGGCTGTTGAGGAAAGGTGCGCCTTGGCCAGGAGTTCCAAGAGCCACCTGTGCAGAATTTTCACCAATGTTTCCAAGTCCTGCAGAGCAGTCACATGGCACTCCAGACCCACCCTGCAATCCACTGCCCCAAGGTCACCATGGGGTGAGCACAGCTCAACACTGGTGAAAGTGGCGCCTGCGGTTTATATGGGCACAGGATGGGGGTGGGGCAGGCCATGAGTTGTTCTGAAAAAGGCAACATTCGAACTGGAAAAGAAAGATGTAAAGTTCTCACTTTGGGCCAGTCTGAAAATTACATACTGCACCATTACCAACTCTGTGACATTCTGGAAAAGGCAAAACTATGGAGACAGTAAAAAGATGAGTGGTTGTCCGGGGCTGAGGAGTGGGAGGGAAGAATAGTGGGAGGACAGACGATTTGTGGACTGGGTGATAATGAAGTGGCAATATAGGTTCATGAGTTCTAACAAATGCATTACTCTGGTGGAGTACGCCGATGACGGTGGAAGCTATGCATGTGTAGGAGCAGGAGGAATATAGGATGTCTTTGAACCTTCCACATTATTTTGCTGTGAACCTAAAACTGCTCTGGAACATGGATTTTTTTTTTTTTTTTTTTAGACAGGGTCTGACTCTGTCATTCAGGCTAGAGTGCAGTGGCATAATCTCAGCTCACTGCAACCTCCGTCTCCTAGACTAAAATGATTCACCTGCCTCAGCCTCCTGGGTAGCTGGGACTACAGGCATGAGCCACCATGCCCAGCTAAGTTTTGTCTTTTTTGTAGAGGCGGGGTTTCACCATGTTACCCAGGCTGGTCTTGAACTCCTGAGCTCAAGCGATCCACTCACCTCAGCCTCTCAAAGTGCCGAGATTACAGCCATGACCCACCACAGCAGGTGAACATGGATTTTTTAAGAGTTAATAAAACATTTTCAGTTGGTCAGTTTTCCAATCTGAGAAGTGAACATTATTTAGCTGAACTACCACTCTCCAATACCTCTTACACTAATAGGATTTCTCTCTACTGCAAAACCTTACTTAAGCTAATTCCTGAGATAACAGCAAAGGGCTTTCCATGTTTCATAGACTGTGCAAGCTCATTGCAAGTTATTTCATGCTGGGTTGTGAAGAGATTCTGACAGTTTTCCCATATTCCTTTCATTCATATGGCTATGAACTGTGATATAGTAAGACATGAGAAGCAAATGAGGTACTTCCTGCATCCTTTTTTATAATCACAGGGTTTTACCCCAGTATGAATTCTCACAAAGATATTAAGGCTTGAGCAATGAAATAAAGTGACACCATATCCCTGGGATATATAGGTTCTTCCTCCAATGTAAGATTTCATGTTAATATTATGGCTTTGTGAGATATTTAAAGGTTGTCATACATTCCCCTACATTCCCAGGACATTTGTAGTCTAACTTTATTTTTATTTATTTTTTTGAGACAGAGTTTTGCTTTGTTACCCAGGCTGGAGTGCAGTGGTCTTTGCTCACTTGCAGTCTAATTTTAGATGTGTAAAATAAGCCTCATGGAATTAGTAAAAGCTTTCCCACATGCCTCAAAGCGAAGTCTTCTCTACACTGTGAATTTTTATTCCTTATATAAGGTATAAACATTTAATGAAATCTCTCCACATACCTAATAGAGCCTCAGTCCACTCTAAGTCACTAAGTGTTGGGTGAGGTCACATTTATGACTTTCATAGTAAAAGAAACTTTCTTTCCTTGATAGTCCTTGATTTTCACAGGGCCTATCACCACAAGAGTTGGAAGTATTAAGATCTGATGAGCACTTACAGACTTCACATGTCCTACGTTCATAGAACGTCTCTCCTGTGATTGCTTTTATGTTTGCACTAACACTAATGATAGCTAATGAATGAAAAAAAAAATTCATTATGTTTGAAGAAAGCTTAAAAATTTGTGTTTTTCCACATTCAGAGCCATCCTGGCCTGCGGGTTGGACAAGCTTGATCTAAAGCTTTTCCCAAGTTCCTCACAGTATTAGTTTCCTAGGGTTGCCATACAAAATAACATAGACTGAAAGATTTAACCAAGAGAAATTTATTGCCTCACAGTTCTGGAGCCTGGAAGTCCAATATCAAGGTGGAGACAGGGTTGGTGTCCTCTGGAGGCCATAATGAAAGCCTCTGTTCCAGGTCTCTGTCCTTGGCTTGCAGATGGCCATCTTCTGGTGGATTCACAGTCTTCTCCGTGTGTATCCTTCCTTCACTTTCCCTTATAGGGACACCAGTGATGTTAGATTAGGGATCGAACCTAACAGCCTCATTTGAAGTTACTCACCTGTTTGAAAACCTTACATCCAAATACAGTTATAGTGTAAGGAACTAGGACTTAGGGCTTACAAATAAGGAGTGGGGCATCATCCAGACCATGCCATTTAAATTGCAGGGTTTCTCTCCAATGTGAGTTCACATATGCACATTAAGGTTTGTGGGATTCACAAAGGTATTCCCAGATTCTCTACATTCATAGGGTTTCTCTCCAGTGAGATTTTGGATGTGTTTGGTAAGGCTTGACAATTCCGTGAAGTCATTTCCACACTCCCTGATGCAGGGTCTTCTCCACTGTGAATTCACACGTGTTCATTAGGACCTGAGATACAAAGTTGCTTCCACATTTCTACATTCATAGGGTTTCTCCCCAGTGTTTTCATGTCTTCAGAGAGAACGCGTACACCTTTAGGTTTTCCCACATTCCTTACACTGACAGTCTCTCATCTGCATGCCTTCTTTCATGATTTCGAAAGGAACTGGAAGAACTGAAGGCTTTCCCACACTCTTTACATTCATAGGGTTTCTCTCCAGTGTGAGTTCGTTCATGTAACTGAAACGAATTGGAGTAACTGAAGGATTTCCCACACTGTTTACATTTGTAGGGTTTTTCTCCAGTGTGGATCCGCATGTGAAGGTTAACACAAGTGGGAAACTTAAAAGCTTTGCCACATTCCATACACGTGTATGGTTTTTTGGCACTGTGGGTCCGCATGTGATTATTAAGACTAGAGGAATGCGTAAATGCTTTCCCACATTCCAGGCACTCAAAGGGCTTCTCTCCAGTGTGAATTCTCAAATGTCCACTAAGATTTGAAGAAATAGCAAAGGCTTTCCCACATTTGACACATTCAAAAGGCTTCTCTCCAGTGTGAGTTCTTGTATGTTCACTAAGGCGAGAGGATCTGGCAAAGGCCTTCCCACATTCCTTACATTCATAGGGCCTCTCTCCACTGTGAGTTCGCGCATGCTTAGTAAGGTCTGAGTTCTGAGTGAAGGCTTTCCCACAGTCCTTACATTTATAGGGTTTTATTCCAGTGTGAATTCGAAAGTGATCACTGAGGCATGAGGAATTTCTAAAGTATTTTCCACATATCTTACATTCAAAGGGATCCTTTGCAGTGTGAGTTTTTAAATGTTCAGTAAGTTGAGAAGATGTAGGGAAGGCTATCCCACATTCCTTGCATTCATAAGGCTTCTCACCCACATGACTTTTCATGTGTTGACTTAAGCAAGAGGAAACAGTGAAGGCTTTCCCACAATCCTTACATTTATAAGGTTTCTCTCCAGTGTGAGTTTTTCTGTGCTGAGTAAGCTGACAAGACCTAGTGAAGGCTTTCCCACACTCCTTACACTCATAGGGATTGTCTCCAGTGTGGGTTCCCATGTGAATATTAAGGTATGCAGAATATCTAAAGCCTTTTCCACATTCCTTACATTTGTAGGGTTTTTCCGAACTGTGAGTTTGTATATGCACAGCAAGGTCTGTGGAGTGAATAAAGCCTCTCCCACATTCCTTCCATTCATGGACACTTTCTCCATTGTGAGTTCTTAAATGTCCCTGAAGGTGTGAATGATTAACGAAGGATTTCCCAGAGTCACTGCAATCAAAAGCTTTATCTCCTGTGCACATTCTCTGGTGAGCAACATCAGGGGTCAGGCTGAAGGCTTTTCCACACTGACTAAACACAGAACGTTGCTCTCCAGTAGAGGTTTTCTTGTGCAGAGTAAGGAAGTCTACTCCATACAGATGACACTCAAATGCGTTCTCACTATTTTGAGTTCTCACGTGTGTCTTAAGGCATGAGTGTTCACTGGAGACATCTCCACATTGCTTAACATCATTGGTCTCCCCTCCGTTGTGGCTTCCTATCTGTTGATAAAGGAATGAATGATGATTAAAGGACTGTTCAGACTCACTCACAGATTCCACTCATCAGAAGAGAGGAACATTGTGATGATTATTTTCGTGTTTACCATTTTCATTACACACATACAAGTACTGCCCTTTTGATTTCTTTCCAGTGGAATGATGAAAAGTTCCTGTCAGGCTGTGCCATCTACTCTAATCTCAAATGTCTGTAGAGTTTTATGAAATTGCTTTAAAAACTCACTATCTGGTTACAAATGTGTACTTGATGCGAACTCTAAAACACTTAAGTGTTGGCTGGGCACGGTGGCTCACACCTGTAATCCCAGTGCTTTGGGAGGCCAAGGCGGGCAGATCACCTCAGGTCAAGAGTTCAAGACCAGCCTGGCCAACATGGTGAAACCCTGTCTCTACTAAAAATGCAAAAATTAGCCAGGCATGGTGGTGCATGCCTGTACTCGCAGCTACTCAGGTGGGTGAGGCACAAAAGTCGCTTGAGCCCAGGAGGCAGAAGTTGCAGTGAGCCAAGATCATGCAACTGCATTCCAGCCTGGGCGACAGAGCAAGACTCTGCGAGAAAAACAACAGTAAGTGTCAAGCTAGGTTTCAGGCATCCCCAGGTCATCGTATTGAGTCCTCTCCAGAGTCATTATCCCTCTGGGGAATGCTACTTATCTCAAAGAGCTCTCATTCTGCTAATTTTCTTTTTTCTTTTAATGTAATTAAATTAATTTAGTTTTTAGAGATAAGATCTTGCTATGTTGACCAGGCTGGTCTAGAACTCCTAGCCTCAAGTGATCCTCCCACTTCAGTCTCCCAAAGTGCTGGGATTACAGGTGTGAGCCACCATGCCCAGATTCATTCTGATTTTCTATAATGAAATCCCCAATCCTCTCTAAATGTGAAAACTAAGACGTATCCTTGTTAATCTTACCATTTGAATCCCACTAGAGTTTGGCTCCCCCAAAAACTCTTGCTGAAGGGCTGACTCTTTGGTTTTAAGTTGCACTTTCCATTCTGAAGCTAAAGAGAAAAAGAAATGTAAGGGTTTGGAGACACACAGGGTAGACAGATGGAGCTGAAAATGAGAGAGATCATTTGTATTTGTTTTCTTTTTTTCTTTTCTTTTTGAGACAGAGTCTCGCTCTGTTGCCCAGGCTGGAATGCAATGGCGTAGTCTTGGCTCACTGTAACCTCTGCCTCCCAGGTTCAAGTGATTCTCCTGCCTCAGCCTCCTGAGTAGCTGGGACTACAGGCACGTGCCACCACACCCAGCTAATTTTTGTATTTTTAGTAGAGATGGGGTTTCACTATGTTGGCCAAGTTGGTCTCAAACTCCTGACCTCGTGATTCATCCGCCTCAACCCCCCAAAGTGCTGGGATTACAGCTGTGAGCCACTGCACCTGGCCCCTGTATTTGTTTTCAAATTAAACATGGTAACAAAAAACAAAGACAGATTTGAAGATTGTATATCAAAAATTTGGCAATAATAAGGATATAGCGTCAAAATTTTACACAGTTTACTACCAACTGATTCTATGAAAATCAAAAACTGATGGTGAACACAAAGAATATTACCATGGAAGGAAAGTCGAGGAATAGGACAACAAGCACACATCAAAACAGGGAACTTGTTTTTCTTCTTTTTTTGAGACAGGGTTTCACTCTTGTTACTCAGGCTGGAGTGCAATGGGACAATCTTGGCTCACTACAACCTCCACCTCGCGAGTTCAAGCGATTCTCCTGCCTCAGCCTCCCAAGTAGCTGGGGTTACAGGCACCTGCCACCACGCCCAGCTAATTTTTGTATTTTTAGTAGAGACAGGGTTTCAGCATTGTTGGCCAGGCTGGTCTCAAACTCCTGACATCAGGTGATCCTCCTGCCTCGGCCTCCCAAAGTTCTGGGATTACAGACGTGGGCCACGGGTGAGTCACCATGCCCAGCCTTTTTTTTTTTTTTTTTTTTTTGAGACAGAGTCTCTCTCTCTCTCAACCCAGCTGGAGTTCAGTGGCACGATCTTGGCTCATCGCAACCTTCGGCTCCTGGTTTCAAGCAATTCTCCTGCCTCAGTCTCCCTAGTAGCAGGGACTACAGGAGTGCGCCACCACACCCAGCTAATACTTGTATTTTTGTAGCAATGGGTTTTACCATGTTGGCCAGGCTGGTCTTGAAATCATGACCTCATGTGATCCACCCGCCTCAGCCTCTCGAAGTACTGAGATTACAGGCGTGAGCCACCACACCTGGCCCAAAACAAGAACTTTTAAAGAAGAAACCAACAGGTCCTATCATAGGAAAAAATGAGTAGACAAAGTTAAGACTATGAGAAGCTAAAGATTTCTTAACTTCTAAGAAAGAAATGGCCTAACTGGGCAAGGTGGCTCACGCCTGTAATCCCAGCACTTTGGGAAGCCAAGGCAGGTGGAACACTTGAAATCAGGAGTTTGGGACCAGCCTGGCCAACGTGGTGAAACCCCATCTCTACTAATAATACAAAAAATTAGGTGGGCATGGTGGCACACACCTGTAGTCCCGGCTACTCAGGAGGCTGAGGCAGGAGAATCACTTGAACCCAGGAGGCTGAAGTTGCAGTGAGCCGAGATCACATCACTGCACTACAGCCTGGGTGACAGTAAAACTGTGTCTCAGGAGAAAAAAAAAAAAAAAAAAAAAAGGCCTCAACATTGTGAGATAAACTGCATCTTAAAAAGTTTCCTCATTATGGCCAGGTGCAGTGGCTCACGCCTGTAACCCCAGCACTTTGGAAGGCTGAGGCAGGCGGATCATAAGGTCAGGAGCTCGAGACCAGCCTGACCAACATGGTGAAACCCCATCTCTACTAAAAATACAAAAATTAGCTGAGCGTGGTAGTGCGCGCCTGTAATCCCAGCTACTCAGGAGGCTGAGGCAGGAGAATCGCTTGCACCCCAGAGGCAGAGGTTGCAGTGAGCCGAGATGGCACCACTGTACTCCAGCCTGGGCGACAGAATGAGAATCTGTCTCAACAACAAAGTTTCCTCATTTTACTTGTAAACATACTGAACTTACTGACCAGGGCAGTCCTTCATGAACACTCACCTTGGAAATCACCTCTCTGCACTGTCCTAGACTCTTCTTGTTCCAGCCAAGAGATCAGACAGGGTTTGAAGAGCTGACACCCTGTGCACAGAGAAAGATTCATTACCAGAAGAGGCTCATGCAAGAGATGACAAATCTTTCCATAACTCAGGAGCTACAGTTCCAATGGAAGCAGTGAAATTATTTTAAAAGGGCTAAAAATGCAAATATCATCTGTCTGTGCCCCCAAAAGATTGGTGATCTCTGATCCCTGGAGCCCAAATCCAGGCTGATGTACACACTTAAAAAGCACTAAGACTTTTATCCAAATAGGAAGAGAAACAAAGAGATCTTCATTCTCATGGGAAACAACCATACATCTCATTCTTCAACATTATAGCACATCAGATTCATGAGAGCTTGTTAAAACACATGACAGGGCCCCTGTTGCAGAGTTTCTGACTAAGTATGTCAAAGGGGGAGACTGAGAACGTACAGCTCCAACAGTGCTGATGAATCTCTACCACCAAGTAGAAGAAACCCTATTAGGGCAGGGACTATGTCTGTTATTTCCCATTGTGTTCAGAGTTGCTGTCTCCGACGTGCGATACAGTAAGTACATAACATAATCTGTTCTACAGCAGGCTACAAGGGATGAGGCCAGTCTTACCTACTGTGGCCAAATTCTTATAGTTCTCTAGCATCACATCTCTGTAGAGGTTTCTCTGAGTTGGGTCCAGTAAAGTCCATTCTTCTGGGGTGAAGTCCACAGCCAGATCATCAAAAGTCACTGAATCCTAAACCATCACACACATGCTGGCTTGAGTCACATAACACGTCTACCGGTGTTCACTGCAAAATGCAATACCTACAGAGTCTGAGGGCTCACACTGCCTACTCCAGAGTTCACTGGTCCCAGGAGGTCCTCTCTATCCACACTCACTCACTGTCAGTTCCCTCCAGTGACATGGTTTGAATGGCACTTCTTACATATGATTGTATCTAACACAACCAGACTGGGAGGTCATCTGATTTCCCTCCACTGCAGCACACTCTTGAGCAGATGCTAGACAAACGCTGATGAATGGATAAACTGTCTCAGCAAAGGATACTTTTATGTCCCTTACCATGTGTCAGAACACTCAACAAAATAAAAAGTATGCAGTTGGGACCATGAGGGAAGACTAATTAGTCAACACTGAAATACTGGGATGACATTCAAGGGAAACCCTCACCAATATGTCAGGCTCCACTCCTTTGGGGAATTTGACTAGGGACTCAGTCCTTGAAGGAGGCTTTATTTGTTTAAGAAGCTCTGGAGATAATTCTGTGTAGAAGGAGATGTGTCTATCTGGTGATGCAAGTATGATATTTTGGAGAAGGATACGCTCCCTGCATACCTGATAACAACTTGTCAGACAGCCAGCCACCACCCTTTCCACTTCTGTCTTTTCTTGAAGGCAGACTGGGTCCCTGTAAAGACCTCATGGAAAAGAAAGAAGGCATGAGAACCCAGGGCCGACCATAACTCCCACATTCACACCCCCAAAGTCCTGCTGTGAGATTCCCATGTACTCCTGCACGCTCAAGAAAACACACACATACACACTACCGCTATCAATTCCAGGGCAGTTCTGCCTCACCTAAAGGCAAAAAAAAAAAAAAAAGGATGGTCAGCCATGCTGCCCACTGGGAAAAGGGTAGTAGTCTTATTTTACAGATAATGAAACTTAACCGTGGAAATACATAGCACCTCTTCCCAAAGCACACACAGCAGGGGGCTGATGAAGCATTCTGCCAGGTGCGATGGCTCACGCTTGTAATCCCAGCACTTTGGGAGGTCGAGATGGGCAGATCACTTGAGATTAGGAGTTTGAGACCAGCCTGGCCAACATGGTGAAGCCACATCTCTACTAAAAATACAAAAAATTAGCCAGGTGTGGTGGCATACGCCTGTAATCCCAGCTACTCGGGAGGCTGAGGCAGGAAAATCGCTTGAACCCAGGAGGCAGAGGTTGCAATGAGCTGAGATTGTGCCACTGTACTCCAGCCTGAGCAACAGAGCAAGACTCTGTCTCAAAAAAAAAAAAAAAAAAAGAACAAAGCATTCCCTAGCCCACGTCAGCACCGCAGAAATTAAGTTGTAGCGTGAATGATCAGGCACAGACCACCAGACTCCACATTGTGTGGGGGGACACCTAAAGCAGGGTCTCTGAAAATGAACAGAAACAGGACTTACCATAGGACAAATCAACGGCTGCCATTCCGCAGGGCTGACGGCTAAATGTGCTTTGAAGCGCCTTTCCTTTACTCCAAGGATCACTCCAGGACAGCTTAGGAATCTACACGGACAGAGGTAACCTCCATTCTCTTTATCCAGTGTTAATGGTGTCCTGTTTGTATAAATCATTAATCCACAAGCATTACTTGTCAATCATCAGACATCACTAGCACTCTCTCTGCAGAACATATAAGTGAAAGCCACTGAAAACGGTGCACACCACAAATACTAGGACCGCCAGCTTCCACTACTGAGGAACGGTGTGTGTCAGAAGCCACGCTAGCAGCTTTACATACACACCTAACTATCATAACCACTCTTTACAGTATATCAATGACCCCTATGTGACAAAGAAAAAAACCAGGTCGGGCGTGGTGGCTCACATCTGTAATCCCAGCATTTTGGGAAGCTGAGGTGGGTGTGTCAGTTGAGGTCAGGAGTTCAAGACCAGCCTGGCCAACGTGGTGAAACCCCATCTCTACTGAAAATACAAAAATTAGCTGGGCGTGGTGGTGCCCGCCTGTAATCCCAGCTACTGAGGAGGCTGAGGCAGAAGAATCGCTTGAACCTGAGAGACAGAGGTTGCAGTGGGCTGAGATCACACCACTGTACTCCAGCCTGGCAACACAGTGAGACTCTGTATCAAAAGGTAAAAAAAAAAAAAAAAGAAAAAGAAAAAAAACCTACATTCAGACAACATTTGGCTTTGGTCCAGAATCATCCAGTTTGGAAGTTGCGAACCAGGACTTGAATGTAGGCAGTTTTGTCCCTGACACCCAATCTGTGGCTGCTCTGACTTTCCCACATGACTGGCGCTGGTCTAAACCTGCACAGTGCAACACCATGGTCACTACCCACATGTGTTATTGAACACCCACTCCATATTAACCTAGCATGACCAAGGAACAGAATGTATTTTAATAAAATTTATACAACTAAAAATTTAATAAAAATTAATCACAATCTTTAATAAATCAAACACAGAACAACAGTGCAAATGCTGATTGACAGAATGAAATCTGAATGATGAAAATCACTGAAAACTGAACAGTTCATTATCCATGAACCAGCTACACCTCCACAAGGACGCTACAGCCTTTATTCTACAAATGAGAAGGCTAAAACTCTGAAGTCACACTGGGTTACAGAAACCCCATGTCTAGACTCCTGGTGTAGATTGTACCTACTTCCATGGGTTTCAAACTGGGGATCCTTAGGCTGAAGAGGGCCACAAATGTGTTTCATTTGGTGAAATCTAAATCAATCACGTTATTTAAACCTGAAATATAATTAATGCACAATTAAAAGTTCGGATCTTAGGTATTCAGTGGATGAATTTTGACAACCGCATACACTTGCGTAATCAAAAGCCTCAATGAGATGTAAAACACGTTTGTCTCCCCTGAAAACCTTCTTGCCCCTTCCAGTCTATTCTTTCACTCTCAACTCCAGATAAGCACTCTGTGATTTCCCTCATTTAGCAGACATGACACTGGACAGGTAAATGAGGCAGTGTGCTCATCTCTCGCAAATGTACATCCTATCTTCATTTTTCTCTACTATTTAAACAACATGAGATAAATATTCTAAAATCTCCCACTGCAACTGTGGACTTGTCTATTTCTTCTTGTGTATCTGTAATGTATACTCCTTTATACATCTTATAACATTACTGGGTAGACAGATACACACATTGAACTTTCCTATTTTTGGTGCAACAAAACCTTTTATCATAAGGAACTCTGTGTGTCTCTAGGAATGTTCTTGGATGATGCTGGGTGACAGACACTGTGGCCTGCTTTTCTTTGTGGAGTCTGTATCTCATGGGCAGCCTCAGGTATCTTTGGGTGCCAATGTTCTCCTTTACCTGGCATGGAGCCTTAAGGCACCCAGTGATGGCTGGACAGACAACTGAGATCCTTCTAAACACTGTTAAAGTACACCCAGACTACAGCCCCTTCACAATTCATAACACAATACACATCTGAGTTTTGAGGAAATGTATTGAACTACTCAATGAATGCAAGGGTGACAGGAATACTGTCTCCTTCTATGCACTTACCCACCACCCATGGCCTGTCTGCATGCCAAAGACTGGTTTCCCCTGGTCGCCTGATGTGGATACTTAGTGCTCTCAGTACCCTTACTGGCACCCTAACTTCCTCTGCTCATGAGCCCAACAGCCAGGGTTGCCTGCATTCCAGAGGGTTGCTTCCCGCTTTCCCCAAGTCTGATGACTAGCTCTGATGACTAGCACCCCCGAAAAGTACAGAGCAGAAGCACTACAGCCCCGCTAAAGGCTGACCCTGAAGGGCAGTACTAAAGGAAAATCTTCCCAGTGGCAGAGCTTCGGGCAGTGTATTGGCCTGCTTCTGGGTCTGGAGTAAGAGTTGACAAGATGCATGCATACACAAACACGGATTCATTAAAAGTTGCCTATGGCTTGGCTGGATGGTCAAAAATGTGGGAGGAATGCCAGGCGCGGTGGCTCACGCCTATAATCCCAGCACTTTGGGAGGCCAAGGCGGGCGGATCACGAGGTCAGGAGTTCGAGACCAGCCAGGTCAATATGGTGACACCCTGTCTCCACCAAAAATTAAAAAAAAAAAAAAAAAAAAAAAAAAAAAATGTGTGAGGAACCGGACAGCTAACAAGGAAACCTGGGAAAAGGTACATGAATGGACCTCACTGAAAGGACAGATTGTGTCCCATGTGAATGCCTACCAAAGGTGATCCACTAGAAATAAGGCGGACAGAATCATGCACACTAAAGATACCTGTTAACTTTTCCTAGCTACCTCAGTGCTTGCTCATTGGGCCCATTAAAAAATGTTCATGACAGCAGGGATAAAGGCTATGCATGGGTTCAGCAATAAGGATTTCCCCTTACCAAGTCTGACTCAGCTAACATTACTACTGGGCCTAATCTCCTGAAAGCAGAAATTAACCCTGAGCATCCAATACGGCGCCATTCCTTAGAGGAGACCAGCCAGCCATGCTGTAACGGGTCCTCTTCTATCAGGAAATATAACTCATCCTCACCAGAACAGACTCATGTTCTGCTGTGGATTTGCCTTTCGACTAGTTAGGCTTCTGCTGGCACCACTATCCATGGACTCACAACGTGCTTTATCAGTAGTCACGGCCTCCACACAACACAGTTTCTAAACAAGAAAAGCATCTCACTGCAGAGAAGTGCAACAGTGGAAGCTGTTCTTGCAATCAACTGGTCCCATCGCACAACCCATCACTCAGAAGCAGTGGATCTACGTGAAAAGTGGAATCACATACTGAAAACTCAGTTACAGGGCCAAATGGGAGACAACCCTTAGAAAGGAATTCTGTCCCATAGGTCAAGGAGTATGCTTTGAGTCAGAGAGCCTTCCATGGTACTGTCTCCCCACAGCCAGAATACATGGGCCCAAGAATTGATGAGTGGGCCAGGCGCAGTGGCCCACGCCTGGAATCCCAGCACTTTGGGAGGCCGAGGCAGGTGGATCGTTTGAGGTCAGGAGTTCGTGACCAGCCCGGCCAACATGGGGAAACCCCATCTCTACTAAAAACACAAAATTAGCCGGGTGTGGTGGTGCGTGCCTATAATCCCAGCTGCTCGGGAGGCTGAGGCATGAGAATCACTTGAACCCGGGAGGCGGAGGTTGCAGTGAGCCGAGATTGTGCCACTGCACTCCAGCCTGAGTGACAGAGCAGGACTCTGTCTCAAAACAAAAAACAAAACAGGCCGGGCGCGGTGGCTCACGCCTGTAATCCCAGCACTTTGGGAGGCTGAGGCAGGCGGATCACGAGGTCAGGAGATCGGGACCATCCTGGCTAACACCATGAAACCCCGTCTCTACTAAAAATACAAAAAATTAGCCGGGCTTGGTGGCAGGCGCCTGTAGTCCCAGCTACCAGGAGTCTGAGGCAGGAGAATGGCATGAACCCGGGAGGTGGAGTTTGCAGTGAGCCAAGATCACGCCACTGCAATCCAGCCTGGGTGACAGAGCGAGACTCCGTCTCAAAAAAACAAAAACAAAAACAAAAAAACAAAAAAAATAGAACTGATGGGTGAAAGTGGAATTAACTCCACTGACAGAAGTTTGCTTCCACTCCCAGCGACTCAGAGCACTGCTGGTCCAGAGATCTTTTTTTTTTTTTTTTTTTTGAGATGGAGTCTCGCTCTGTCGCCCAGGCTGGAGTGCAGTGGCCAGATCTCAGCTCACTGCAAGCTCCGCCTCCCAAGTTTACACCATTCTCTTGCCTCAGCCTCCCGAGTAGCTGGGACTACAGGCGCCCGCCACCTCGCCCGGCTAGATTTTTTGTATTTTTTAGTAGAGACGGGGTTTCACCGTGTTAGCCAGGATGGTCTTGATCTCCTGACTTTCTGATCCGCCCGTCTCGGCCTCCCAAAGTGCTGGGATTACAGGCTTGAGCCACCGCGCCCCGCCCAGAGAACTTCTTAGTTCCTAGTGGAAAATGCCTCCCCCAGGGGGCACCGTTATGGTTCCAATGCATTGGAACAGGAGATTGCCACCTGGCCCTTTTGGGCTCCATATACCACTAACCCAAGAGGGGAAAAAAAAAAGGTTAATCTACTGGCTGGAGTGGTTAATCCCAATTATCAAAGGAAAACTGTGGCACTGCTAGACAACTGAGGCAAGGAGGATGAAGTGATGAAGTGTAGAACCTCTGAGTACTTCTATACTCCATAGAAAAGGTTAATGGAAAACCACAGCTGAATGAAGGCAGGACAACAGAGGACTCGGACTCTGGGCGAAGGAAGATTTGGATCGCTCCTCCCTGGTACAAAACCCGGAGCAGCTGAGGTTCAAGTGGAAGGCTGGGAAAATATGGAATTAGTCACTGAAGAAGTAAACCGTGGACATTAACTGCAACCTCAAGACCAGTGACAGTAACAAGAAATGTAGTTTTGCACATTTTCTCTGTGCTTGTTATATCTATGTGTGTCCATATCCATGTGTTTATTTATTTAGATGAACCATTTACTTCTATCTTTTTCCCGCTTTTATTTTATATACACATTATTAGAGGTTACATGTGTAATTGTGTCTTTAGGAAACAGAATCGTTAGAATGGGACTAAATTTGAGGAGTA